TTTTTCTTTTCTTTTTTTTAAATAATAAATAGCTTATGGTGCATGTATTTTTAAATGTTTTTAATCTAAAATTTTAGACATCTGCTGGTTTCCTTGGCCAATGCAAAGAAATAGTTAAGAAATTGGTTTGGGGTTTTCAAAATGGCTTCAAAAACAACGAGTATGTCTTTTTATCTGACTTTACTGATGATTAGGGTCTGAATTGGGACAAAATGCTTTGCTAATTTGCAGAAGGATCAGCTGATTTGCACCTGGGAAGTTTCATAAGTTTATAAGAGAGTCATCCCACACGTTCATGGAAGGCAGACATTCAGAGCACATTATGGCCATTTTATGGAAGGTTACTTACTATATTAATCAGATGTCACATCTAACATTTTTAGGTAAGTCACCCCTCCCAAAATGTGTTGCTTTTAAGATCTTTTTTTCATCCCAAATATTTTAAAATAACTATCGCTTCATTCTGCTTCTGTCCAAATAGCCCTGGGCTGCGTCTGCAGAGCAGCCGCTGTAAGTCAATTATCCTGGAATTGCTAAATAGTTGCATTCCCTGGGATATGACTTTTTAATTTGCTTCCAGATGTTTCTGCACAGAGGCAGGCTGTGATCATGAAATATGCTCAGTAAAGATCACTGACTTCACTACACAGAATGATCTGGAGATGGGCTGTTTTGTCTGTCCACTGAAAAGCACTTCGCACGGTCACGGCCGGCTCACAGTAAAGGCACCAAAGAATAAAAAGTGGGCAATTACATCAGTCACTTTCTATGTCGAGAAAGCCTTTTCCTTTTGTTTTTTAAGATTAAAATTTATTTTAGTTCATTTCATAAGCAAGTAAAAGGAATATAACAAAAAAGCAGTGATCTCCTCCTATCAAATATATTCCATGTTCCATAACCCCTGACTGCCATCAAATACTATGTGGATGGGGTCGTACTTGACCTTCCTTTTGATTGTCTTTTTAGGAATTTAAATCTTTATCTCTAAATAATATGCATATATTGATATATAGATTTTTGACATTATCTTTCAGATTCTTATTATGGCAGATGAAGCTATCATTTCATTTTTATCACTTCTTTACCCCTCTTCAATCTTTTTAGTAAACTTGTATTTCACTTTTTGGGCAAATCTATATTTAAATTTTCATTATTATGACCATGTAAATGTTGCTTCCGACTGAGCCAAGAAATACTCACTTTATATCATTTATTGATGACTTTTTGTTTTCCTAGACTAGGCCTGTTTAAACTTTGAAGAACAGCTTCTTCTATAGTTATGGGTCCGTGAAATACCCTGCAATGTAATTTTTATGAGGCCGAGCCTGTTGGTGATTTTTAGTTCACTTTGATTTTGTGTTTCTGTTAGACATCCCTGCTGAAGCCCTCTGGCCTGCCACGTGCTGACAGGGCTGTTCTCTGGTTTCTTCCATGGCTACTAGCCTGGGCCTTTTCACCATCATTCTGAGAATCCTCTCCTTTGTTAGAATCCCTCATTGCTGGACCCATGGTATTTCTTGGGTTTCCTCCTCTGATTTCTTGGGATTCCTCTTCTGATTCCTATTTTTGAATATTGCAGTTTGGAAGTTATAATGTCTCACAGTTTTATCAAAGATTGAAGTTGTATTTCCACATCTTGTTTTCTTTGTGGGGGTGGATTTTTGAGTGAAGAATATGGAACAACTAATATGCTTATGCCATCAGCTTGAAAGAGAAAAATCCTCTTAGCTTGATCTCAGTACTAGGTTTTCTCTTTATTATGGAGTTAGTCATGTCCACAATTATCTTAAACAAAATTGAGTCTGTCAGGTGCACTGGTGTGTTCTATTTTTTTGTTAAGGTGAAAAGTGATGATAGCATTTCATTGCCATAAGAAAATTGCATTAATTCTCTAATTGGTGCTGTCACAGAAGGAATCTTTCTACATTAGGGGTATTTTCAAGACTGAGTTATCCTTTAAGGAATCAAACTTTTTATTTCACCAACTTTTAATTGAAATTTCTCCAAAATTTATCAACCATTTCCCTACATTATTAAACAGAAAGAGATGAATGTAGTCTTTTCTTGGTCTCTCAGAGGCATGCATGGAATATCATTTATTGCACTGGGGTGTAATTTGGTGGCATCTCTGGGGCTGGGGCCTCTTCTGTCCCTGAATTCTCCCAGCGCTTGGTTTTGAAATTCACAGTTGATTTTGCAGAGATGATTTGTCATTTCCCAATGAGTCATCTTCAGGAAGGGTTCCCCATTCCCCTGACACTGCCCTACATTTCACTGTCTAGTATTCTCAGAAAGAGCCGAGATTGGCAGCAGAAGCAAATATCCTGCCTAGCAAAACAGGAGCCGTGAATTTAATTCTAAATCCTGGTCCGTAGACTTTTGGTGGGAGTTTCTTTCAAGTTTCCATGATTCCACTGGGCAGACCTCTCAGGCTATGTGGCAGCTCTCTTCTCGTCTGCTTAGCCTCAGACCAGGGTGTCTCAACCTTGGCACCACCGACATTTTAGGGGGCAGTGCTTTGTTGGGGAACCATCTTGTGCACTGGCCTCTATCCACTAGATACTAGTAGCACGCTCCTCCCCGAGTTGTGGCAGTCAAATATGACTTCCAACATAGCCAAAGGTCTCCTGGAGGGGCAGTATGAGCACCTCTTGAGAACTTCATAGGTCTCCTCTTTCTTCAGGTTTTGTAACTGTCTTCTAGATATTTGACATTGTAGAAAACGTGACAGCAATGAGCAGGAATAGTACTGTAATTCCCTAGTGTTTTGTAAAACTCGAAGTAATTCATAAAGCACCCATAATTCTGCCTTTTGCCAGTGCTAATAAATTATTCATTGTTTTAATTATTCTGGTAACTAACATTTATGGGGTGCTTGTTTTTAAAGTGCTAGGCCCTGTTGTAAGCACTGGGAAAACTCTGAGGGAGAAATTATCTTTGCCTGCAGTTTAACAGATGGGGAAATTGAGGCACAGAGCACTTAGGCAGATTGCTGGAGTTGATGGTGTGTAAGTGTCCAGGACGTCTCATCCTGCAGTGGGACATCAGAGCACATGCTCTTAACCAGTGCACGGTTTGGTGGTTGATTTTAAGATGTCAAGACCAAGATACAGGTGCCATGTGTAGGCTTCAGCCCTTCTGCCCATTCTCAGCTCTAAGAGGACAGAGTTGCACATGTTCCCCCAGCTGTATTCCTCTTGTCCAGGCCAGTATCTGACACACAGTCAGGGTACAGTGGAGGTTCATTGTACCAAATGCATCTGACTATTCTAAACTCCAGGCTCGTGGGCTGTTGACAAGAAAAGGAGAACCACAACAAAAAATAAATGCATGTCACGGTTCCTTGAAAGAAGATGAGTTGTGATATTGTAGGTCACTAATGTGTGGCAAATCTCTGTCAGGGAGGGTAACTCCCTACAGAAACAGAAAAGGAGTGACTGGGTAATTGTACCCTCCAGGCTGCTGTCATGACCTCCTTGGCTGCAGAGTTAGAGGCTGGAATGTTGTACTTGAGAGGGGCACCATCACGTCCTTAGGATTAAACCGTAACACAGCACACTGAAGCACCGGCCACACACACCTGCAAAATGGGACCTTTCTTTGATGATTCTAGTGCAGCTGTGCAGTGCCTCCAGATCTTTATTATAAACACTTGAGCTGTTGAGACATCAATATGCTGGTTAATCAAGAAGCTGGGTTTCATTTGAGGTGGTAGCACTTTTCACAGGCCGTACTATGTTAGTGTTCTAGCATTTGCCCTCAAAGTTCCTTAAATATTCTTTCATGAGGTGGATTGGGAAGGCACAGACCAGCCTTTGGTCCTGAAGCAAGGCTTATGTGAGCTGGTGCAGTGATGGCTGAGTTGTGCTAGGGGAGCCTTTGGCTGGGGTGTTCATCTGTCATATCTGGGATCTTAAATTCACATTTCTGTTGCCATTAAAAGTAATGCTGAATTTGAGCTGAAAAGTGCTCAGAGCTAGGAAGATGGACTTGCTTATCATTTTCAGTATTTAGAATCTTATCTTATTTTGTCCTTATGAAATAGTTGTGGAAAAATAGGATAAGTACAGAAAGGACCTTAGTGAGCCAGGATGCTTCACTTGGTGCTAATGTCCTGTTTTTGGTAGGGGGCAGTCAGGAAATTCTCTCTTGAAATGGTGACAATATAAGGAAAATTCTAGAGCATGTTACCTTGGAAATTTAGATCAAAAGAATTTTGAGGACAGGCATAGTGGTGTGTGCCTTTAGTCTCAGGTACTTGGGAGAGTGAGGTGAGAGGATCGCTTGAGTGCAGGTGTTTGAGGCTATAGCGTGCTATGATCCCATCTTTAATAGCCTCTGTGGCCCAGCCTGGGCATCATGGTGAGACCTAGTCTCTTTGGAAAGTAAGAATAACTGATACTGAACACATCAACTGACTTGCCACCCATAAACAAATGTTCACTGGGTAAACGTGCCTGCTCTTTAACACCTAGCTCAAGTATCACCCTGGTCTTAGGGCTTTTCATCTGTGTTCTTTCCAAGACTGAGTTAGTTGTGCTGTCCTTAAATGCTCCCTCAGCTGTGTGCCCATGTTCCTAAGATAGCACCTGCCCCCGTGTGTTTTAATGCATTTGTTTTCATGTCTTTATTCCTGCCTGGATGGGGAGGTTCTGGGAAGGAGCCCCTCACCTTTGTATCCCCAGCACCTGGCATGTGTGGGCTGGTACGTGGGCAATGGTTTATATGTGTTAGATGAATGAGTAATAGGAGAACTCATTAAATTTCATCTTTTGCATGAGCAAGAAGAGGACATATCATATTGAAATATTTCCAGCTCGTTAATACGAAGCAACTCCCTTTCATGATTTAGAATAAGGACTCCAGGGCACAATTATTTTTTCTCGATCCTCATTTTCTTCTCCTCTCACCCCTCCCTTCCTCTCAGTCTCAGGAAAAGATGTGTCTTCATTTTCTTTAGTTCAGAGTCTTCCTGAAGAACACCCTTTGTTTCTTTCCAGGCAGGTATTAATGAAAATGATTTTTACGACGGGGCGTGGTGTGCAGGCAGGAATGACCCCCACCAGTGGATTGAAGTGGATGCCAGGCGCCTGACCAGATTCACGGGCGTCATCACGCAAGGAAGGAACTCGCTCTGGCTGTAAGTGTGCCCGGCCCTGTGCAGCCTGGACTCTGTCTTGGGTCTAGTGTTCCAAGGCCTGGACAGACACAGAAGTGACTGGTGATGGGCAGTAGATGGACGGAGTATTGGGATGTGGGCAGGAGGCTGGGCTGGCTATTAACACTGATTCCTCTGGGAAGGTGCATCTCTTAGGACAAGACCTTCTCCTGAGGTCAAGTGTGGTGGCTCACATCTGTAATCACAGCACTCTGAGAGGCTGAGGCAGGTGGATTGCTTGAGCTTATGAGTTTGGGACCAGCCTGAACAAGAGAGAGACCCCATCTCTCCTAAAAATAGAAAACTTAGCTGGGAATTGTGGTGGACACCTGTAGTCCCAGTTACTCGGGAGGCTGAGGCAAGGGGATTGTTTGAACCCAAGAGTTTGAGCTTGCTGTGAGCCGTAGTAATGCCATGGCATTCTACCCAGGACAACAGAGTGAGACTCTGTCTCAAAAAACAAAACAAAGCAAAGCAAAGCAAAACACACCTTCTCCTGTACAGGAATGGAGAGCAGGACCCACCTGGTGGGTAAGGCAGAGTAGGCCAAGGTGCAGTCAGGTCCATGCAGTCTGGGCAGGTGGCTGCCACCTTGGGTCCCCAATGAGGTATTGGCGTGCTCTCTGGTGGACAGAACATGGCCAAGGTAGGACACGTGTGTTCACACAGTCCTTGGGTAGAGGGCACATATCTCTGAGACTCTGGAGAGAAAAGCCAGAGGCCTGGGCAGGTTCCCCCATGGAGGAGCCTCACAGCAGTAGAAGTGATAACACGTGGAGGCTGAGGATGGGAGGGGACCCCATTTCTCAGAATTACACTTCGGGTCAAGCCTGGGTCAGTGACAGGTGCAGCCCCTGAACCCCCCACCATATGTTATATGCACACAGTGGACTAGACTATTCAGCCTTAAAGAGGCAGGAGATGCTGACACATGCCACGTCTGGATGACCCTTGAGGGTCCCATGTGCAGTAAACTCGTTACAAAAGGACAAAGACAGTTCCACTTACACGAGGACCCAGAGTGGTCAGGTTCATGGAGACAGAAGTAGAATGACGGTGGCTGGGGCTGGGGAAGGGTTAATGTTCAACGGGTTCAGAGATTTGGTCCGAGATGAGGAAAAGTTCTGGAGATGGACGGTGGTGATGGGAGCACAACCACAGGGAGGTACTTAATGCCACAAAGCTGGACGCTGAGAAATGGTTAAAATGATGGGTTTATATTGTGTATGTTTTATGACAGTAAGCAAAAAATTCATTAAAATATGAAATATAATACAAAAAATATGAGAAACACTCTTTGAGCTCAGCTCAGGACAGGCTGTGGAGACAGAGCTGGGGCTGCATTGTGGGGGTGATCGTTGGCCCCAGCTGTGTAGACGGTGGGCACAGAGATTGAAGAGGTGGGGGCAGAGGGTGGGACGGGCCAGGTCAGTAGGACCTCAGGGACTTTCTGATTTTACACTGAGAAGCTAGATTGCCAATGCCCCCCACACGAACATTAGGAAACCAGTTGGGGTCCCTGCCATCTTAGCCACCCCCCACATCCACACTACACTCTCAAAGCCCCTTTCTGGCGTCTTTCAATATTTACTGATTGCCTGTTGGCAATCACATAAAATAAGACTGTAATTTGCTGACTGGATTAACATTAATTTTTGGAAAGGTCAACATTAATAAATAAATTGGGTTACGGTGAACCTGACATCTGTGCTCACATTTAACCTGCTCACCTGTCATTGTCCCTGCAAAGGGAACTTCCCTACATAGTGACAATTGTCTGGCAGTGACTCATCTGTTTTCCTCTGAAAAAAAAAATATTTTTTTTTCTTTCAGTTTTTGGCTGGGGCTGGGTTTGAACCCGCCACCTCCGTCAGATGGGGCCAGCGCCCTATTCCTTTGAGCCACAGGTGCTGCCCTGAAAAATTTTTTTTACTTTATTTTTTAAAATTTTTTATTAAATCATCGTGTAATGCATTTCTGAGGTACAACGTGCTGATTTGATATACAATGTGGAATGCTTACATCTAATGAGACATAACCATCTCCTTGCTTACTTACTTGTTATGGTAAGACATTCATACTCCATTTGTAATAGTTTAGAAATGTATCATTGCTTTATGCACATTTGGTGAGGTCCCCCCAAATACTCTCCCTCATCCTAAGCTCCCCCTCCTTCCTCTTCCCTCCTTCTTTCTGGACTATAGTTATGTTTACCATTCCTATGAATGTGTAGGTGATTATATACTGATTTCATAGTAGTATTGAATACATTGGATCCTTTTTTCCCCGTTCTTGAGATACTTTACTAAAAGAATATGTTCCAGCTCCATCCAGGTAAACATAAAAGATGTGAAGTCTCAGGCAGCACCTGTGGCTCAAAGGAGTAGGGCGCTGACCCCATATACCAGAGGTGGCGGGTTCAAACCCAGCCCCAGTCAAAAACCTGCAAAAAAAAAAAAAAAAAGATGTGAAGTTTCCATCTTTTTATGGCTGCATAGTATTCCCTGGGGTACATATACCACAGTTTGTTAATTCATTCATGAGTCTATGGGCATTTAGACTGCTTCCATGACTTGGCAATTTGAATTGGGCTGCAATAAACATTCTGGTGCAAATGTCTTTGTTGTAAAATGATTTTTGATCATCTGGGTAAATAACGTAATAGAGGAATTGCAGGATCAATGATAGGTCCACTGTTAGTTCCTTGAGGATTCTTCAAATCTCTTTCCAAAAAGGCTGTATTAGCTTGCATACCCACCAGCAGTGTAGAAGCGTTCCCTTCTCCTCATCCATGCCAGTATCTGTTTTGGGATTTTGTGATGTGGGCTTACTGGAGTTAGATGATATCTGAAAGTGGTTTTGATTTGCATTTCTCTGATGATTAAAAATGATGAGCATTTTTTCATGTGTTTGTAGGCCATGCGCCTGTCTTCTTCAGGGAAGTTTCTGTTCAAGGCTCTTGCCCACATAGAAATGGGATTATTTGTTCTTTTCTATTGATTAGTTTGAGTTCTCTGTGGATTCTAGTTATCAGACCTTTGTCAGAAGCATAACCTGCAAATATCTTTTCGCATTCTGAAGGCTGTCTGTTGGCCTTATTTACTGTGCTCTTGGCTGTGCAGAAGCGTCTTAGATCCCAGTAATATCATTTTGGTGTTGCTTCAATTGCTGGGCAGCGGGGGAGGGTGGGGGGTCCTCCTTATAAAAAGTTCTCCCAAATCAGGAGGTATCACGTTACCAGACTTCAGGCTATGCTATAAATCTCTAATGATCAAAACAGCCTGGTACTGACACAAATATAGAGAGGAAGATGTATGGATCAGAACAGAGAACCAAGAGATGAACTCAAACACCTGTAGTCACTTGATCTTTGACAAACTTATCAAAAACATTCATTCAAGGAAAGATTCCCTATTTAACAAATGGGGCTGGGTGAACTGGCTGGCGACCTGTAGAAGAAAGAAATTCCCATCTCTTCCCATTAACAAAGATTGATTCTCACTGGATAAAAGATCTAAACTTAAGACATGAAACTATAAAAATATTAAAAAGAGTGCAGGGAAAACACTCGAAATTTTTTGTAAAGACAACATTATAACATCTCGCAACATTTTAAAACATTACCTTTGATTCCAAGGTCCTTAGGCAAACAGAATTATTTTTCTGTATTGCAATCATGTTGCAGACCCAGCTATGTAGTTTTAAATTTAAAGATGTATCAGTAACTTTTTTCATGCTGTTACTTAGGCGTCACCTGCTCATTTTTAACAGGCTGTAATTTTCTCAGCCACACCTCCATTACACTCGGATTTCCTATTACCACATATCCTATTGCAAGAAAGCATTTAAATTTTTTTGTTTGAATTATTTTCTTCAAATAAATTTCCAGAGCTGGGATCATTTGTGCATTTTAACAACATCTGGTGTGTGTGCTGCCCTGTGCCCTGCACTTTATTCTTTTTGCTTTTCAGTGGCATTTAGGCGTGTGTTCTCGTGTGCTGAGTTTTACTCTGTGGTACACATTTTCCTTTCATCCGTGGTTTATTACCATGACAATTGTTTCACTGTTTATTTTCTAAGAGGCAAGAATTTGGGGGGAAAACCTTAGGTTGCTCAAGAAAAGCAGGAACTTATGAAAAAGTGGTCTGAGATTATCCACAGGGATGAGAGGAGGGATTTTGCTCTAACGCTCGGCTAGTGACCTGTCTGGCCACTGTCCTTGCAGATCCAGTTGTCGGGTTATTACTGGATTAGAAAGTGAGAGCAGGGCAGGTAGAGAGGTCATGTTCCATTTCACCTAAGAACACGAGCGGGTCTGGGGTAAGCAGGAAATTGCTGCAGAACAGTGAGGACAGGAGCATCTCAGTGGGAAGGCAAGGGATAGAATTACCTTCAGGAGTTGATTTTTTAAAAATGCTAAATGTATTTCAAGTCAAGTTATTCTTCAGGGACAATGAAAGGAACTCAATCTGCTGAGTTTGAGCTTGTCTTAACTCCTTGAGTAGTCCCATCACCACGAGGACTGAGGGGGAGATGGGGCCAGGGTACATTTTGGTATCTGAGCCCTTTTCTCCCAGAGGCAGTGGGTTCCGTTCCACGGTGACCAGGAAACATGTCTACCGTGTTTGGACCCTAAAGGTAAAGAAGACAGCATTTGTCCCCTCCTGTCTCCTGACCCCCGTCCCCATACTGCTCCCTGTGCAAATGGCGGTGGTGCCATCTTTGACATATCCGTTTATTGTCTGCATTTTCCCCACTAGTCAGTGAGTACCTTGATGGTAGAGGCTGTATCTTGACAGAGTGTCCCTGGGACCTTGCCCAGTTCCCGGCATCTGTTACATGCTCAAGAAACAGCTCTATAGTGAATGGATATCATTATGCAGCAAAATGTTGGTGGAAGGTTCTTCACACTGAGTGGGGTTAAGTTAACTCATCTGTGACCAGTGACTGAGAGTGAAATGTAGGGAGGGGTGCGGAGGGGC